AAATAAAATGTAAGAAAGAAAAAAACAAAGAAAACAAAATTTGATGCAAAAACGTCCATGATTCATTAATGACATATGAGAATGAAGTGACAACCCTCACAAATGGACCGTTGTGCCTCAGGTAAGACACAAGGTTTTAAAAAGTCTGAATTGTTTAAATATTACAAGCCTGAAAATATTAAAAGACAATTACTCTTGAATAAAAGTAATAGGAATGAAATCTTTGGCCTCCCAATTGTTGAGCCCTCCGTCGATGGTTGGAAAAATCCATTCGTCCATGTCACAACTGTCATCACGGTATTCAATTGCATTGACTCCTTGGTTGCTGATACGCAGAGGTGGTCCCCCAGCGCGAGAACGTCGAATAGCTTTTTGAGCCTCTGAAGTGAACCCCAACCCAAATTTGTCGGACTTGTAGGGAATATCCGGAAGCTGACCCCAAATAGTACATCCTCCCTCTTCAACTACTGCTCAAGCGTCTTTCAACGAGGCCATCTTTAGTGGAGGTCTGGTAATATTCGGGACCTTTGGAGTAGACTTGGTTGCTGCGACTGTTGCTGGAACCTCCTCAAATTTCTGACAGGGAGTCTCTATGAATTCACCATCCATTTCAACATACCTGAAAGAGTTCAGATGGCTAACCATGTATTCCTCCTCTCCGTGAACTGTAACAATCTTCCCTCTGATCGGGTACTTTAGCATTTGGTGTAGGGTAGAAGTGACGGCACCAACACCTTGGATCCAGGGTCGACCCAATAGACAAGAGTATGAAGGGCGGATGTCCATCACATAGAAAATTGAGTCAAAAGTCTGAGTCCCAATTTTTATGGGGATACTAACTTCTCTGTGCACTGTCCTCTTGGAACCATCAAAGGCCCTCACTATGATGTTGCTAGGTTTCAAGATGAGCCCCTCGCAATCCAGTCGGTCGAGGGCATTTTTGGGCAAGACATTCAATGATGAACCGATATCCACCAAAATATGGGCAAGTGTGGTGCCCCTGCATTAAATGGAAATATGTAAGGCATCGTTGTGCTTCCTTCCCTTAGAGGTTAAATCAACATCGGAAAAGCCCAATCTGTTATCAGCAGTCAGATTGGCCACACAGTCTTCAAATTGGTCGATGAAGGTCTCTTGGGGGACGTGAGCGGTCTTAAGAAACTTTACCAAGGCTTTGGCGTGAGTTTTAGAACACAAAAGTAAGGAAAACAATGATATCTTCGAAGGGGTCTGCCCCAATTGTTCTACAATGTTGTAGTCACTTTTCTTGATTATCTTCAGGATTTCTTCTATCTCTTTTCTAGAAGCTTCAAGGATGACCTCAGGATGTTCTCTTGCTTGGGCAGGCTCGACCAAAGCCTCCTTGCCCCTTGTATAGGCAGTAGGGATAACAGTAGGAGCATTACTGGGAGTGTCGGTAGAAACGGCAGTAGTAATGATCACAGGAGTAGCAACGGTCTTTGGAAAAATCTCAAGTGAGAAGACTCTTCCACTTCTTGTTATTTTGCTGGTTTCAGTGATGTTATCGACATCAGGATCAATATCTCTCGCAACATCCTCTTTGACGGCCAACTGATCTTGCTTGATGCCATAGTAATAAACGTCAGCCTCATAACTCCAGGGAACAGCTTTATCCGAGGAGTATGGTATTGGTCTTGGCATAGTGATGATTAAGGGTGCAGATCTGGGAGCGGATGTAATCCTGACGGGTCTTTTGGTGGAGACCCTGGGAGGATTGTCGGAAATGGTGATTATTGAAACATCTTGATGAGAGATTTTGATAAGAGGTAGCTTTTCAAATAGGATTTCTTTACTAGTCATCAGGCGCTGGACGCCTATCTTTAGTAACAAACATCCATTCGGTAGAGATTTGCATAGGTGACAATCTTCATCGCAGCCTGGGAACAAGGCCAGCTTGCAGTAGATTCTGCTTAATGGTTAACAGAGGAGTAACTAAGCCATTCATAGAGGAAACAAAACAATCATCATCAATGGCATTGATACCTTGGCCATGTCTGGGCATTGGTGCCGTTATAACATTAGGCGTTTCTAGGGGCTCAAATTCAATCTCTTTCGCATCGATAAGGTCTTGCACCTTATTCTTTAAGGCCCAACAGTCATTTGTATCATGCCCCGGGCTTTCAGAATGATAGGCACATCGAGCGTTCGGGTTGTAGCGAGGAGAAGCAGTATTGGGATTCTTGGGAGCTTCCTTTAAAGTTGCCAGATTTCTCTTGAGAAGGTGTGGCAAAACTTGAGACATAGTCATGTTAATGCAGGTAAATTGTCTCATGGGCGCTTCTGGTTTGCGCTGATAATTTCGCTACTGATTTGGCGTAGGATTAGAAATCATGACAGCCCCTACTGCCGGATGACGGTTGGTTTTGTTTCGATTCCTATGACCATATGCAACACTGACCTCCTTCTTTCCAACAAAGGGTTTCTTCACTATACTCGAGGATGCATCTCTTTGAATTTTTCCACTTTTTATACCGACCTCAACCCTCTCACCAGTCATAATTAATTCAGTAAACCCAGCTGAGGAACTCCTAATTAAGTGATTGAAAATGGTCCTGACAAGGTGCCTAGGAACATATCCACTAATTCTCTGTCGGATAAAGGGGGCTGGACCCTACCTGCGAGATCCCTCCATTTTTGAGCATAGGTTTTTAAACCTTCATCTATTCCCATAGACATGCTTTGTAACTGTGTCCTAGTCGGAGCCAAATCAGCATTATACTGATATTGTTTGTAGAAAGCGGCGGCCAACTCTTCCCAATTGCGAACATTGGTCCCTTCCAATTGGTAGAACCAATCCAACTGCGTCCCAGATAAACTCTCCTGGAAGAAATGCACCCACAAATTCTTGTCAGCCGTGTGGGGTTGAATCTTTCTGACATATGACCTTAGATGTAGCTTCGGACAAGAGACACCATCGTACTTGGCGAAAGTTAGGACCTTGAATTTTTGTGGGATGACAACCCCCAAGATGAGTCCTAATTCTTCAAAGTCCAAACCGGGTAATCTCTGAATCTCCATGGCATTCAAACGATCCTCTAGCTTTTTGTATTTATCATCAGCAGGAAGATATTGTTCCTCAGAGTAATCAGGCTCTTCCTCTCCTTCGGATACTGGGTCATTGTTCACTTCTTGGGTTTGATTATCTCCTTCGCCTGACAATGTTGCAAAGTCTAAAGTTCGCATGGTCTGTCCTTTAAACCTTCTTCCCATGATTACAACACCGATTGGTTTCTTTGTTTTCTTCTTCTTCTCTTTGGCCAGCAGAGTCTTCAACTCTTCCTGACCTTTTGTTAGATCCATGAGCATTTGTTGAAATTTGGCATTCTGCGCCTGAAGATCTTTCACAGTCTGTTCAACATCCATCTCACTGAAATAAATAGTAGAAGGATAAGGCGACCTGTTATGAGAAACCTGTATGATGTTATAATGAATGAAGATGCAATATGCAAATGATTTCAAGGACATTTAGAGATTTAAATTTGTTCAAACCAAAAAAAGGAACACACGTCTGTTGTACCCCAATTTTTGACCTAAGATCCCATTTTTATTTTTGCATTTTTAAAGATAAGTCAAGGTCATGAAATACAGTCGGTTTTAATCTCTCACCTTTAAGCATTGACTATGCGAAGGTTGTCAAGTGTTTTGAACATTTTTAACCTATGTATCACTAATTTCTAATCCATACAAAGGTGTATGTTCATGTTTTCTTTTGCTTCATGTGCAGAGACAGGTCTGAATCAAGAGCATCAGGTGTCACGCCTCAATTAAAGTTTTGAGTCTCCCAAGCCCGAAGTACGGTTGATTGTGGATTCTCGAAAACTGATTCATCAAGGCACACCGTTGCACCCTTAATTTCGCCCCTAATTTTTTCAGTCGCACATTCATACCATATTTTGTCATTTGGCCACAATCATTAGTAAATATCTCCATTCATCATATTTTGCATCATTAGTCGTATTTAAGTTGACCAGAAAAGTCAGTTTAAATCAAAGTTTGCATCGTCTTTCAGTTGTAAAATACCCGACATTTCACTTCATTCATTTTTATCTGTTTACTATTTTCTTGCACTGCTCCAAGTTGTTTATATGTCGATAATAAAATATTTCGGTTTTATAGACAGACTGTTAAAAGCGATTCGACACTATGCGGGAAAGTAGCGAGAAAATATTTCAAGTTTTCACCTTTTACCGATCATTTTATGAATCTGTGCTTCGCGTAGATTATGACGGTATGCTCGCTTTATTTTTTCGGTACAGTTCGAAGTCTCATTTTTTAACCTTAAACGTCTGTTTAGTCTGATATTTTTATTATTATTTTATTTTTGATTTTTTGACTTCTTGAACATTTTTTCCTTTAATCTTTGTGACATGTAGATTATTTTAATGTGTTCATTTTATTTTTTCGGATAAATTTTCGTCCGTTCTTTTATCATTTTCGGTCATTTTGGGTCTTTATTTTTTATTCATAAAATATTCAAAAAAATCATTTTAAATTGAGTTATTTTTTATAATTCCAGGTTTTTATTTTATTTTAGGCATTTAAGGACTATTTGATCATAAAATATATTATTTATGCTACACTCTATTCCTATTGATTGTTGGATGAAATTGAGGATCGATACAAAATTGCCAAAACCATATTAATCAATTTTTACCCTTTCCCCCTCTATTCAATCTCTTCCCCTGATACAACAAAAAACAAAAAAATACAACAAATAACTAGCAGTATCTCTCTATTCTTCTTTACGCAAGCATTTTTCCTTCTACAACACACATAAATCATAAATTAGATTTTCCACTTTCCATCTTAAGAACACAGAATTTATTTGCAATAATCTGGAAATACGCATACTGGCGCACATTTAAGATACTCCCCTTATTCACTCTGCACTATGCTATTGTACGCTTCTAAATGTTAACCATAACATACTATAATAATCTTCCTCATTACACTTCTCTGTTTCACTTCTCTCCATAACTATGCATGCGTTTCTTCACATTTTCGCACTCTGCGCACCGTTCTTATCCTACACCGATCGCAGCATAGAGATCCAAGCCTTAACGTCGTTTAAGCTCAACCTCCATGATCCTCTCGGAGCTCTCGACGGTTGGGATACTTCCTCGCCGGAAGTGCCGTGTGACTGGCGCGGCGTTGCTTGCAACAACGACCGAGTTACTGAGCTGCGTTTGCCTCGTCTTCAACTCGGTGGTAGACTCAGTGAACGTCTCTCTGAGTTGAGCATGTTGAAGAAGATAAGCCTTCGTTCAAATTTCTTCAACGGTAGTATTTCTTCGTCACTCATGGAATGTAAGCTTCTACGGTTTTTGTTCTTGCAGGATAATGCGTTTTCCGGTAACGTTCCGCCGGAGATCGGAAACCTCACCGGTCTTCAGATTTTCAACGTTGCTCAGAATCATATCTCTGGAACTATTCCGAGGGAGCTTCCTCTTAGTCTCAAGTACCTTGACCTTTCGTCGAACATTTTCTCTGGCGAGATTCCGGAGACTGTTGCTAATTTGTCTCATCTTCAGCTTATCAACCTCTCGTACAATGAGTTATCCGGTGAGATTCTCGTGACGTTTGGGGAGCTTCAGAAACTGCAATATCTCTGGCTTGACCATAATTTCCTTGGAGGAACTTTACCTTCTGCACTTGCTAATTTCTCTTCGCTCGTGCATCTGAGCGCAGAGGGAAATGCACTCGGCGGTGTGCTTCCGTCGGCGATTTCGGCGCTTCCGAAGCTTCAGGTGATTTCTCTTTCTCGAAACAATCTTACTGGTTCCATTCCTTTAATTTTCTGCCTCTGTTTCTTCCTACCCATAACATCCACCACCCTTATTCCGCTCTGATTCAAGTACCCACGATTCAAACTACACTACCACCCATTCATGTCAAAACCTTTTTCTCATTCATAACTAATTACACTTTGCATAAACACAAACAAAACCCTCTCTTCAATCTTCACACAAACAAATAAACCCAATACTTCCTCTCATACTCCCAAACCTCTCCTTCTGCTACTTTTGGATTAGTGAGGATGAGAAAGATATAGTTGTCATAGATTCTATTGCAAAACTTGAAAATCTTTCAGGTGTAAAGGTGTCCGACCTTCATCAGCATAACATTGATCATATTACAATTCATAGTGAAAGTGGCAGTGTGCTTCGACGTGTTGATGATGTTTTTGATTGCTGGTTTGAAAATGGGTCCATGCCTTATGCGTATTTTCATTATCCTTTTGAAAATGTTGAGCTGTTTGAGAAGAATTTTCCTGGCCATTTTGTCGCTGAAGGGCTGGATCAGACCCGTGGTTGTGCTGGCTACTGCATTATTTGGTAAGCCTGCCTTTAGGAATCTAATTTTCAATGGACTTGTCCTAGCCGAAGATGAAAAAAAGATGAGCAAAAGCCTGAAAAACTATCCTTCACCAATGGATGTTATTAATGATTATGGAGCATATGCCTTGCGTTTGTATCTTATAAACTCTCCTGTTGTGCATGCTGAGCCACTTCGTTTCAAGAAGGAAGTAGTTTATGGTGTTGTTAGAAATGTTTTCCTTCCCTGGTATAGCTTCTTCCCAGATTCGGTTTGGTGGAGTAAAGGGTTGTTTAGAACATCGTTTACCATGTTTGGAATTGAATAATCATCATTTGTTTGGTTCTTGATTTGTCCATGTGCATTCATGCAAGTTTCATTTTCTTTTTATATCTTGTAAATACTAATTGTTGCAATTTTGTTTCAATTTTAATTTGTATTCCGCTTATGCTACTAACGCGTTTGTTATTGTGAAGGTTTCCGAAAATCTATTTTAAGCACTCATTCTCACATAGCGCATCCACAATTCCCATACTTCTCCCTTTTACCTTTTTATTGTATTTTACTATTTTGATTAAATATTTGGTACTGTAAATATATACTTGTACATAATATTTTTTACTGTATATTTTACTCATTTCATTGGTAAATAAATTCCGTCTATATAGATATTATTTTCATTGCATTGTGATTTTATTTTTAATTCCAACTAACTTCTGAAAATTGTACGGACGCACATAAGTTTCCCGTGCTGTTAGATTTTGTCAGTATATCTCTTGTGATGCAGGGATTCTTATCTGACACCGTGAGCTTTATCCACCGCCTTTGCGCTTTATCTGATGCTTGGAGTATTATCTCACATTAGGTTTTTTGAAGATGCTGTCGGCTTGTGATTTATTTTCACCTAAGGTTTGATATACTCTTAGCTTATTTATCCGTCTGTGGTTTTAACTCCAAGGGAAAGATTTAAATTTGTTGACTTCACGTCATCAAATACATCTCATCCGATCGTGCGAATACCCTTTTTTTCATTTTTTGTTTGTTTACTATTTTGCTAAACTCAAGATAATTTTCCCAAAAGACTCCATTTTCAAACTCATACCTTTTAAGTCAAAACTTCGACATTAGGTTATCACATTTTCAAAATCTCGCCAACACCTATTTTTAGCCAAACGAACCATTTTAATCAAACAAACAATTTTAACCAAAAAACAGATATTTCAAAAGGTTCCTGCGGAGTACCGCAGATGCATTGGGTGCTAATACCTTCCCATTGTATAACCAACCCCCGAACTCTCGATCTCTTTTAAAAACGCGTTGTATTTTCATTACTTTTAAATATTACTTTACATTGCATATTTTAGGGTTTTATTTCGCTCTTTTCCCTTTTCCCTTGGAAACAATAAAGCGCGGTGGCGACTCTTGCTTTTTGTGAGTCAAGTTAATTAATAGCTTGATTTCCGATTTTCACCGCTACAACGTCATATTAAATAAACCAAGTTTGAATACATCATGCCTCCTTGGGCTTACAAAGAAAGAAACAAAATACAACAAAAACTCCTAAGACAAAAAGGCTGAATGCATCCTCTTTGGAGCAATGTAGGTATTTAGATTTTTCTCTTCATGAAGCAGTTTGGTGAGCTCTAGAACCTTCTTCTCACTGGCGTTTTACTGGGTTTCAAAGGTGTCTCGCTCTTCCTTTAACTAAACCCAAGCTTTCTGCAGGTCTTCGAGAGAGGTAGGCATGTCAGGACGAAGAACAGTGTATGGGACGTCTCCTTCAATGACAGGCTCAATGATGACAAGAAGGCTGGAAGGGTAAGGCATCAAGAGACTCTGGGCACAAGCCCGTACCCACTTAAGGTAAGGCTCGAGAGGGATAGAGTTCTTAAGTCCCAAAGTCCTACTGTCCACCTTGTTCACCATTGCCCAAGCACGTGTAAACCTCTGCCGGTAACCTTGGTCTTCTTTGTCATAGTCGAACACCAGACCTCGGATGAGCATCTCATGAGGGCCGTATCTTCGGGCATACCCAAACTTCCGAAGAGCTAAGCATGGGTTGTAGGTGATACCTCCCCTAATACCAAGCAGAGGTACATTAGGGAACTCCCCACATCGATCAATGATAGAGATATCTTCCAAGGATCTTGAGCATAAACGAATATCAGAGTGGGTGAGAGACATCATCCTTTGAGACCAAGTCAATCTTTGCTCGTTCTTCAATGCTGACTGAGGCAGGTGTGAAGTGAACCACTTAGCGAGTAGGGGGATACAACATAAAAGGGTACCTCTTTTCTTCATGGTGCGAGTATGAAGGCAATGCAAGATGTCTACCAGTAAAGTAGGTATAGGATTGCGAGAGAGAAAGACTTTGATGGCATTAACGTCTATGAATTGGTCCAAATTGGGAAACAGAACCAAACCATGAATGAGGAGAGCCAGTACGTCTTCAAAAGCTTGGAAATCCATGTCATCCCAGAATGAACGAGCTTTTTCCAACAGAAACTTAGCTAGAAAGCCTTTAACCCCACTTCTTGTCTCCCAATTGGCTACGATGTCGGCCCTCTTCACATGTAAAGCTTCGGCGGTGATTCTTTTGCCAACTGGTGAAAGAGTAAACATTCATCGGTAAATGCACGACTTTTAATGTTTCAGGTTAAATAGTTTTTGAAGTTTAACGAAATTATCGATGTATGCTTCAGATTAAATCGCGTTTGTTTTTTTATTTCTTCAATTTTTGTAAGTATAATTTTAGTAAGTACGGTATGTAGGAAATAGAAGTTAATATAGATCACTGTGATGATGGTGTGTTGGTCATAGATGTTGTTTGATATTGTTTTGGTTTTAATAAGTTTTCTTTTTCATTTTTTTATCTTATGTTGTTTTGATCTTATGTTGTTTAGATACGATGAAGGAATGAATGAGACAACCAACATTGGAGAGAGTGGTGGAGTCGAAGCAAGATGAGTATAATCAGAAAGAACCAATTGACATCTTAGTTTGATTTTATTTTCTATATTTATTTTGAAAGGTTCTTCTAGGATACTTGGTTGTATTTGTTTAATCATTTCTATATATGTTACAAATTACAAAGAGAGAGCATAATCACAACTTGATGATTTATAAATTATATATTCAGTTACTTTCAAAATATTTTTTATAAAAATGTTACCTTATTTTTTATATACTACTATTCAAGGAATTTAAATTATAAAGAAGAGAGACATAACATATAATTTTCTATTTCAATTGTTACGCATGCTATTTATAAAATTTAGTATTATTGTCACATTAAATTCTAAAATTTATAAATATTTATAAAAATGATTCTTTAAAAACATTTAAAATAAATAAATATCTATACGGGAAAAAATTAAAATATCTTATATATACAACAAAAATATAATAATGATCAAAATAAAAGAAAATTAGAAGGTGGTGTTTTTTGTTGATCTGAATATGAAAAAAAATGTTACTTATTGAAATCTATGCCATTGGAATAATGATTTAGTAAAAATTTGCTACTGATCTAAATACGAGAAAAATATTAAAATTATCATGGTGAGGAAATCAGATAGAGTAAAGAGATATGATGAAATATTGGACAAAGTAATGAAGGGCACACCCTAAGAGTAGAGAGAACTCTTCTAGTGTAGGTACCAACTGATAGTCCGGGAAAGTGAAACAATGATGTACGGGATCAAAGAATTGGAATAGTACACACATCATCTCTTCTTGGAAGTTGGATGTAGCCAAACTGAGGAGTCGACCATATTTCTTGGTAAAAGGAGAATTCCCGGGCACTCTTGAGGCTAGCTCTTAAAGTTGATGATGTGCTTTTACAAAGCTGATTCGGATGGTGTTTCTTCGGAGAGAATTCATGTCCTACAAAATAAAAACAAAGATAAATTTCTAAATCCTTGAAATGGTTAGTGAGCATGCATATGATGTTGATGATGTTTATGATGTTTATGTACAAGCAAACATATACACATACAACAAACAAAACCCTATGTTTTAGGCTTGCATGAGTTTTGTAGGTAAGTACCCTCTTGAAGTCTAGCTGGCTCAACCTGTCCTAGAAATAATGACCGGGTTCTAAAAGATCTCAATATCACCAACCTTTCTCTTAGGCATTGTCTCAGCACAACAATATTTTCTTGCGGCCGAGATATCCCAAAAGTCTAGCCTCAATGAGTGTAGTATTGAGTATCAACCAATTTTCAGCTCTACACCGAAATCGGCTATCTCACTACGTCCTAATGGCCAAGTTTGTTAAATTAGGGTTCTAATGTCAATTAGTGCTTCATGACGCCACTCAGCGGCCCCGTATTCTCCTCGATTCACCACGAGGGATACCGGTACCCACAAATGCGTCACACTAACATAGCCATTATTTCAACCATATCGGTCTACGCCATACAGTCTCCACAATCTTTTGCTATTTACCTAAAAAGGTGTCCCAAATCTGGGTGGAGGATCAAAGCAAGCCCAATATGAAGAACTAAATATAAAGCACACAAATCAAATAATG